AAGTAAACCTTCTTTTTAACAATTATTTACATTTATTTATAGATTTTCATCATTTAATTTTATTATTTATATTTATTTTTAAGCACTTAAGCTTATTAAAAAATGAATTACTATTGTTTTTCTTGAACCTAAACTTATTAAAAAATATTATACTGTAAATTAAGTTCCATAAAAATATATATAAGTAATATAAGTACGTTTAAATATTAAATAAAATTTATATGAATAAATAAATTCCTTAAATTTCCCTTAATTAATAAATTTAAATATTAAATAAAATTCCTAAAAACCCAACCAGACATCGAACGACCTTTCAGAGGCCTTGCTGGGTGTGAGACTTAATTAATCAATTTCGAATCAATTACCGGAAATTTGTTACCAATATGCAAGGACATGAATCACAGAGAGTGCCGTGCCCCCCAATGATAAGGAGCTGGGACTCGGGCCTCGGGCCTCGGCATAAACAAATCTTAGCTGTCAAAAGTGCTCAAAGCCATTGTGCTAATCTCAGAGGCAGGGCAATATTGCAACAATGCCGGGGAAATTGCAGCCAGAGTTGCAGATGCAGAAGCATTCAATAAATCACTAAACACTTGAATGACGCTGCCAATGCAACTTGCAACACATGCAGACACAGAACGTCCTGTGATCCTGCGACGGGAGGGGAGACGGGAGACGAGAGACGGGGGAGGGAGACAGGAAACGGAAGCCAGGACTCAGGACTGCCGGGCGGCAGGGCTCATAATTCAAAATTGAAATTGCAACAATCAATTGCAACAACATGCAACAAATCGCTTGTAGACTGGTGGCCTAATCACTGCACGTCCTCTGCCGAGGGCAGCCAGCCAGCCAGGGGTTAAACCCTCTTCCTACCTCCCCCCCTCCCCACACAACTGACACATATAAATCTCAGTTGGAGTCGCAGTTGGCAAAGACGATGCCAGGAGGAATTGCAGAGAAAGTGCGTTTGCCTAGGAGTGTGTGGGTGTGGGTGTGGATGTGGGTGTGCGTGTGTGGGGCTAAGGGAGGCGGCTTAGGCAGTGACGGGTTAAGGGGCCAAAGGTTCAATTGTTTGGGAGAAGGAAGAAACCCAGGGCCAGAGCCAAAGGAAGACGATGATGATGAAGGAGCTGCAGCGCTTGGATTAACACGAAATGGAGATGTGGCAGGACCATATTGATGCCCTGGAAAGAAATGTTATTGTAAATATAAAATATTTATAAATAAAAAATACATTTAAATATTAAATTTACAATTAATTGAATATTTTTTTATAATAAAAAAGCAATTTTTAAAATGGGTTTCAAGAGGAAAATATTTATACAGCTTTCAGTTTTTATTTTTACATTTTTAAAATATATTAAACATCTAAAAAACTAAAAAAATAATATATTTAATAACTGTTATAAATATATTTAAAAAGCAAATACCCAAAACATTAAAAAAATATTCAAAAAATATTTTATAAAAATTATTAAAACCACCTTCTCTTTAATTTACATTTTATAAAGAAAATCCAAAAGGGGAAAAGCCTTTTGCCTGGTAACTGTAAAAAGGAAAATTAAAATAAAATAAAATAAAATGAAAATAAAATCCTGTCCAGCATTTATTTAATTGTGATTTTTGTCCTTTAGTTAGTCCTGCCTTTTTGGTCCTGCAATTACACCGATTTACATGACAAAGTCAAACTGGGCCCAGGTGCAGGGCTGGCCCGATGATGCATAGGGTATAATTAGTGCTGTTTTCCCCCTTTAGCGACCCCTTGTTCTCCACTGCTAATCTGTGATTTTCCAAATTGTTTCACAAGTGTCATAAATCAATGAAATACCAATAAGTCGTCGTCGTTGTCCTGCTGCTGCTCCTTCTGCTGCTGCTGCTGCCGTTTGCAATTGTTCGAAAATGCAAATTTCGCAAAAGGATATGCCCATGCATAAATGCTGGCACGGCCAGGAAGGACTCGCAGGACTCACAGCAGAAGCCCCAGACACGAAGCAAACATATTTCATGCAGTCTCAATTGGAATTCTAAATCAATCAGATTGAGACGACGCCGGGGTCCCGAGCAACCATCGTCAGCCATCTACCAGTTACCATCTAACAGTTTGGTTCTGTGCCGTTGGACAACGTTTTGTGCACTTAGAAAAATCGGGGTGGGATGTATTATTATTATTATTCTATATTTATTTTAATGGAAAAGGTAATTAAATGATGAATGAGCTGTTACTGCAGGGTATTTATTTATTTCATTTTCAAAATTATTTTGGAAATATATTTGCGTTGTAGTTTGATTTTAAATTTATTTTTAAAATTAGTTGTTTATGTTAGGCCGTCTTGGGTAATATTATATATTTTTTATATATATATTTTTTTAGAATATTTTAATATTTAAAAAATATTTTCGCTTATTTTATTGAATAAAATTAGCTATTAATTAGCTTTTTACAATTTTTTTTTATATTTTGCCGACTTCCTAATAGTAAATATATTTTTTATAATTTCCTTCGAATATTTTAATATTTAAAAAATACTTTTCCTTACTTACTACTCTTAATCCTTGAAATTGGCTTACTTTTAATTCGCTCAGTGTCCCCAAAACTGGCAGGACTCTCTCTCTCTGTGCATTAAGTAAGACACAAATCATAATCGTTCCGAATTCAGAGAAGGCGGGGTCTGGGTGGGGGGAGGGGTCCTGCATCTAGGTGCCAGCTGGACAAGGATCTCTGTGGCCTCGTCCTCGTTCCTGTTTGGGGAAATGCAAAATTTCAAATATGAATTGAACTGATATATTAATGGCCACTTGAGTTGCACTCGGCTCCTTGCAGGTCCTGGGGACGTTTGTCAGCAAAAGTAACTGCAACTTCCGGGGGGCAGGCAGCAGGATGGCAGGATGGCAGGATAATGGGTAAGGAGCTGGGGCTGGCATTTTAGACAACCTGCTCGGTGTTGGCATTTATAAATCAAAATTTTGGGCCAACAACCTGCACCGAAGGACATCTCTCTCGCACTCAGTGCTTGTGTAATTGCCAGGACCAGCACTGCATCCTGTCACCCAGCCCAAAGAGGGGGCCAGCAACTTATCTCTCGCCTGCCCATATAAATAATGACAAGCACGACGACAAATAATAATGCACACCAACACAGGCAGGACGTTGGAGGCTGGACACAGGACACAGGACACAGGACATGGCTGGACAATAGGCCTAAACGAAAAATGTCCTTGTGTGCGTGTGCATAATATGAGAATTTATGTGCGGAAAGGATTGAAAATAAATTTATGAATTATATTGGTTAGAAAATTGCATCTACTCAAGGATATCCTTAATGTCTGCAGGATATGCGAGCGCTCCTTTGTTCTCGTGGCTATCTGTTACATTCAACAATGTCCTGATTCAATTTATTGTTTGTTTGATTTGCATTCAGCTCGAACCGGAGACAGTCGCCAGATTTGGTGTATATCTTACGAGGGGGAATATATATATATATATGTTATACCCCCCATTTGATCAGCGATAACAGCTGCAATTTGCAAAGGAAAGTGCTTTTCGAATCATCATCAGCATCCTTAGATGCTCATCCCTGGCCTCATCTCTCGGGCGGCAAATAAAAATCTGCGCGAAAAATCCTGGCTGAGGCGGAGCTTATCGTAAAAATCCAATAAACCGAAGGTTTTTGCGGTGACTTTTATGATTCTTCTCCGAGTTCTTTATATTTTCTGGCATTATGTCCTCGATGGTGCACGGGGAGAAATTTGTATAAATAAGTTATAATATAAATATATTATTAAAAAAATGTAAATATTATAAATGGTTAAAAGAATGCTAAAAATAAATTCAAATATTACATTTTTAGGCTTTTTAAAAAATGTTTTTAATTATTATTATTTAATATTAATTTTTTTATTTATTATTATTAAAAAAATTTAAAATCTCGATTTATAGAAAATAATAAATATTTTTTAAATAATCTTGGATACCAATAATAGGTAAATCAAAATAATTTTTAAAAAATAATTAAGTTCTGCAAATTATTTTTTAAAATATAATATTTATGTTTACAAGCTGTAAAAAAAATTTTTTTTTTTTAAATATTCACTCGTGGAAATAAATAAGACATAAATTAAGGAAGAAATATGTTTAAATTCTATGAAAACGTATAATTACTACGTAAAAAATATTTATAAAAATTTATTAAAATTATAAAGGTTATAAAAAATAACTGAAAATAATTCTAAATTTTTTTTTACAAATTTATAAAATCCAAAAAATACCTAAAAATAATTCTAAAAAATTGTTTAAAACTATATAAAGTCCAAAAGATACCTAAAAATTATTCTAAATTTAATATTAAACTCAATAAATAAATATAAGAAACCCAAACTTAAGTCTTACAGTGTCGAAATGCTAACAAATTCGATGGGGAAAATATTCTCGTGTCACATGTTCGATCCAAAAGGTAAAAGCAACTGGCAATAAAAGTTTCCCAAGACATTTTTGCCCCCATATCTGGATGCTGGGATCAATGCCGAACCGAATATATATCCACATACTGTGGCAGTTCATCAAATATCTGGCGACAGGTCACGAGTGCCGCAATCTTAAGTGGCTTTTTGGGATTAATCTGGCCAAGGGAGGGGGTATGCTTTCAGGCATACGTACGGGACGTGCTCTTAAAGATACTTTAGCTTCGCACAAAAAGCACTATTTATTGGCACGTGATTTTGTGACAAGAAAAAAAAAACATAGAAAACTGTCCACAAAATGTATAAACGAGTCTTGCTAATCGGAAACCAGATCCAGCCTCAGTGCACATGATAATTGCCGGCGAGTTGAAATAATATTATTACAAAATCAACACCTCAATTTGATATTTAATGTGGCATCGCAATTACCGTGGCAATTACACAGCCACCTGCTATATAAATATATAGATGTATATATTATATATAGTTTCTGTTTAGGGTAAACAAAGCGGAGCCATATAAGCGGGCCTTTCGGGGCCAATGCCAAACATTCGACATCAAGATGCGTTTCTATCTGCTCTTCTTTTTCGCTCTGAGCTGTGCCCTGCTGGTGAGTGCAATATATAAATAAATATATTCTATATAGGAAATGTTTTAAAAATAGTGTAGAGTCTGTTGTGAGACTATTTACAATTTTTAGAATTAAGTTGTGTCTTTTTTTTAATTTTAAAATAAATAATCAGCCTCTCCAAAAATGTAGTAAGCCATTTAAAATTTTTTAAAACCAATTGAAAATATTTTTAAATTTTTTTAAACCAAGAAAAACATTTAAAATATTTAACAAATATTTTTTAAATATTAAAAATTTAATAACAAATATCAAATCTGGTTTTTGAACAGGCCTTAAGTATTTTAAAATAATTTTAAAATATATCAAAACAATTTTGATTATATGTAAATATTAATTTGTAATTTTAGCATTCTTAAAATTATTTTTCATATAAAAAAAATATTTAAAATTACTCAATGGCCTTTAAAAAGTCTTTTTAAATATTGAAACTCAATTTTAAAATTTCTAAATAAGATATTCAGGTTAAAAGAAAACCTTAAAAACCATTTTAAAACATTTTAAAATGCTAAAAAATCATTTAAAATATTAATTCATATTTTTTTAGCACCTCTCCACGGCTGGAGTTAATGTGGTTCGTGGCCTGGAGGCCGCTGGTCATCATGGCAACTCCACTGGAGGACCGCCACGTGGGGTTCGACCACCACCACCATCCACAACAGCCAGCTCATCGGGATAGCTACAGGCTTAAATTCCAGCAAGGATCCTTCCCATTGATTTACCCCCCAAAACGAAACGGAATGTGAACCCTATAACTATGTAGTTTTTTAGCTGTTTTAAATAAAATCACGTTTTCCAGCAAACTTAATTGAAAATTTTCTTTAAAGGGGTAAAAGAAATACAAATAGGAGACTTGAAATAATATTTAAATTATTTTTAATATTAAAAAAAAGAAAATTAAATTATATTAAATAAATTTATATTATATTAAAATATTATATATTTAAATTAATTAAATACAAGTTTTAAAGCTATAAATTTAAATAAAATGCCTGCTTAAATTATATAAAAAACGTTTAAAAAAATGTTTTAGGTTTAATATTTATTTAAATATTTTTTTAGTACTCAAATTAAATTGTTTAAATATTCTAGAATATTTAAAAATTTAAACCCTTTGTTTTAGTATAATTTCAAAGTCAATACAGGCATATTTTGCTTCTTAAAAAACTCTGACTAATTAAAAAATTAACTAAAAAAATGCAAATTAAATAAATATAAATATTCCTATCTCGCTTCCAACTTGGCACACAATCTGCTTTAAAAATTAGCTTAATTTTTCACAACAAAAATACTTTTTTGCCAAACTTCCGTTGAATTAAATGAATAAAGAACGATTTGCATTGTCACTAATGAGCTAAAAGTCAAGGGAAATACCTGAAAATTAGGGCTATCTGATGCAGCAAATATATATACATAAATATCTATATACATATATATTCCGAATATGAAATGAATAATAGTTGCCTGACCCGTGACCGCCGCGAGGTGAGGCTGCAATTTGCAATCGCATTTGTTGATACAGCACATAAATCGTAATTTTATTATTGTTGCCAATTGAATGGAACTGCAAGAAGTGTGGAATACATATATATATATGTATATTTATGTATAAATATACAAATATATATATATATATATATATATCGGTTGAAGCTGTCAGTCAGTCAAGTGCTTGGCTCCAAAGAGGATCGACGCGTTGTCTCAGAAAAATCCCAGTAATGGCTGCTTATTTTCTCAAAATTTCACATCTGCTTGTCCTGCTGATTGTTTTGGGATTCCTGCTCTCCCCGGGCAGGACGGCTCCCATTGGTGACCATCCAGATCATGCCGGTTGCATACGGATCACGATCATCAAGCGACCCCTGGGCACCACAACGTCGACCACAACTACGACGACGACCACCACGACAACGACGACAACGACCAGGGCCACCACCTTGGCAACCACAGTGGCAACTGGCTAAGACGGATTTGAATTTGAATATTAAATATTAAAATAAATAATATAATAATAATAAAATAAAATATTAAAAAATAAAATAATAAATATAAAAAAAAATATATAAAATAAGCATAAGCTTAAAAAGGTTTCTAAATGTGGAAATAAATATTTTTGGTTTATTATTTATTTACTGTAAAAGTTATTTAATATAAATTACACCTAAAATGTATTTTTATTAAATAAAAATTAAATAAATTAATTAATTATTTACCTAAATATTTATAAACTTTGCTATATAAAATAATATAAAATGATTACTTAACCTGAGATTAAAGGACAAAAAGTTCCTAAAATATTTGAAATACTTGTGAATTCTTTAAGTTAATAATATAATTTAATACCTAAAATATAAAGTAATGTAATAAAATATATAATATAAAATTATATATAATATTTTATATTTTATAAAATAAAATGTATAAAAAACATATAATCCCTGTTAAACATTTTGCTTAAACCTGTGAATCATTGCATATTTTTGGTCAGACACTCGAAATGCAATCTCGCCACGCCCACTCCCCAAGGTGATGTAAAATGGGCTGAAATGGTCTAAAAAAAACAAAGAAAAGCCACCGCACAATGCACAAACGAAGCTGCTGCCGAATATAATTAAATATTTTATCGCATAAAAGTGCCAAAAATGAAACGACAACAAGAAAAGTGAGCAGCCGGCATGCGTTTTCCTACTCTCGGCCAAAAAACCATTGTGCTTTGAAGGCACTGAAAGAAAATTTACTTAAGAAACTTTATATATTTTATAAAGAAAATTTTTTAGAATATTTTATATATATTAAAAAAGATTTTTAAGGGGTTAAAATATATATTATAAATTTTATAAGAAATACTATTAAGTTTATTAGCTTACATTTTCTTCTCTGTATTTTTTGCTGCCCAGGTAGAGACCCCCCACCCTCACATAGCCCTCTCCTCTAAGCCCATGCTGGCTGAGCCCCTTTTAACCCCTGACTGCCCCCTTGCTCTTCTAATTCTGTAAGCTGACATTGTTTTGGCAGGCAAAAAGATTGAGAGGAGGAATGAACACATGTTCCCCGCAAACAATAAACCCGCAGCCCTTAACCCCCTTTAGCCCCCCTTAACCCCCTTTTTTGGCCACTGCATTTCTTGGGTCTCTTTTAGATGGAATCTTTTGGTCAACAACAACCACAACAACAACAACAACAGCAGCAACAACACGAACAACCATTGTTCTCGCCTCCATTTTGTAGTGGCTCGTTTTTTCGACAATTTCCATATGAATTTTAATTATAATTTTTCTATGCTCATTTTCATGAAAACAATCAAAAATGACTTTTGTGCCCCCTCCTAGTTTCTGTACCATAAAAGGGCGGTGGGGGGCTTAAGGGCGGTGGGGGGCTTAAGGGCGCTGTGGGTTAGCCTTCGTTGCAAATTGTCACTGGCATTTATATGGCCGCCAGGCTTCCAAAAAATTCTAAAAAAAAATAATAATATAGTAAGAGACAACAGAATTATAACATAAATACTCTATCATAATTATAAACAACTTAAATTATTTTTATAAAAATATTTAAAGTATAAACAAATGATATTAAAAGTGAAAAAATTGAAGGAATCTAAGAAATAAAAATATAACAAATAAAAAAATTCTAAAAATAATAATAATAAGCTACAAGACAAGAGGAATAATGCTTTAAAACCTCTAAAATAATTTTATAAATATAAAATAATGTATAAATATTTAAATATAAAGATGTTAAGTATATAAGAACGACATTAATCTTAACGAAATTTAAGTAAAAATAATAATTCTACAATTCATATAATTCTAAAAATTCTAAAAAAATAAGAATAATAAACAAAAAAACAGGAAATTCTCTATAATAATTTTATAAATAAAGAATTTTATATATCTATACAAAAACTATAAATAAATGTCATTAATCGTCACAAGATTGAAAGAAAAATTAAAGTTCTACAAAAACCGATAAATAAATATAATAAAAATATTATTAAAAATCGTTTTGAAAAATAATTCAAATAAAAAATGATGTTCTCTTTTCTGGGCTACTATCCTAGTTCTACATCTTAACCTTCTAAGTTCTTTCCCTTAACCCATATACCCTTCAATGTTAGTGTAAAAAGCAAAAAGGAGTGAGCAAATTATATTTCGGGATAAAAAGTAACACAAAAGGACAAACACGATGCGACATAAACAAGTTAACAGAGCGAGGAGGAGTTTTTGGTTGTTGTTTGCTTTTGTAGTCATTTTTCTAGTTCTCCTTTTGTTGTTGTTGTTGTTGTTATGGTTGTTGTTGCACTAATTGTGTAGTTGCTGTTAGTGGCAGGTTGGCAGTTTGGCACGTTAGCGCTGCTTTCAGCTTCCGTTTCCGTTTCCTGTTTTAACCAAAAAAAAAAAATAAAATAAAATAAAAACAAAAGAAAAACAATCCACCCATATGACAACTGTCCAGAATAGTACCCCTTGGCACCGGTTGTGCCTATTTTCACCCCCTGCCGCACCTGTGTGTCTCCTGCTTTTGTTCAGATTTTCCACAAAAAGCCACACACAAACACACACACTGCCCGGAAACTGTTATTATTATGCATTCTGATGACATTTCGCTGCTGCTGCTGCTGCTGCTGCTGCTGCTGTTGCTGCTTTTGTTTCAAAATTATTATTTTTTCAGGCGGCTAATTAAGAGAGAACTAGCTGGTAGTAAAAGGACATATGGCACTTTGTCTTCATCATCGATAAGTAGTCTAGTTCCAGCCAAAAAACTAATTTCGCAAACATTTGCCAGCTCATTAACAATTCAATTTGCTGCATAAACGACCTAAACATACAAATATCCCTCAGCCTCTGCAAAAAATAAAATAGTTGGACACACTCGGATGCAGGACTGACCACCGCCACACACACACACACACATGAAAAGCAGTAAATATTCAATTAACGGACGGAAAACTAAATGTGAAAACGTAACCCTTTGTGGGGGGTTCCTTCTCCTCCCTCCCCCCAGAATTGACCTTGGGCCCCAGACAGAGTTGCTGGCCGATCACTTGTGCCTGACTGGCACTTGAAAGCGGGCCCATCCTCCACCTCAGCCTGGGCCAAACGGGTACGTACGGGTTCTCTGTAGTTCAGGGCTTTTTTTTTAGCATTTATTTCATTATTTTATACACTCTCCAGGGGGTATAGAGATTACAAGGGCACACTAATTGAACAAAATTCAAACTCTTCCTTTGAATTTCCCATCAAAAAGAGTACCAACCTGGTCGGTATTTTGGTGTTAACCCTTAACCCTTCGACTCACTGTTTCCCTCCCTTGTGATTTTCTCTCTATTTGGGCAGCCGTTGCTTTGATTTCTAGGTTCGGGTCAGTTTCGGGTATTCCCCCGGCCCCCTTTTTTGGCCATAACTGCGGGCATTTTTCTAATTACAGGAGGGCATGGGCATCATCACAGGAAAAGGCTTTGAACCCACATCTTTCTCTCTCTGTGAACCCCGAAAATAATTATGAATTTTGTTGTATTTTATTTAAATATATGTATATATTATACGTATGTATTTGCTAAGCTACCGCAAGGAACATGGAACATGGCCAGGATATGTGTATATATCCTACTCCCCCCTACTCTCCTGTCACGTGGTGGTCTCCACTTTGTCCGACTTCTGGCGAGGATCCGGCACCTGCGATCGCAGACGATGACGACGCCGCTCCAGCCAGCGCCGCACGAAGGGCGTGAGCAGGCGGGTGTCCACTGCATCCAGATCGGTTTCCCGAAGGACTAGGCTAGTGACCAGGGCCACCACTATGGTGACCAAGGCGCCAAACAGGGTGAAATAAAGATACGAAATGCGGTACAGCTGAAAGGGAGCAGCACTGGCAGCGGTGCTAAAAAGGTGGAGAAATAAAGAAAATATTTAGAAAATATTAAGAAAATATATAGAACATTTTAAATATTCCTCTCCCTGACATGGAATCCCCACCTGATGGCAGCTACTCCTCCTCCAGAGAGACCAGCAAACTCCCGGGGCTCGCCCGCAAAGGTGTAGTTGCAGCCCATCGTTGAGTAGGGCTTCCGCTTGTACACCAAATCCCCGGTGACCAGATCTCGCTGGGCACTCACACACATCCAGGCCATGACCAGCAGGGAACTGAAGCCACCCAGGAGGGCACCCTTTGAGTTCACCCACGGCAGCATGACGCCGGCGGTGAAGATGCCCAATAGCGGTCCATTGGCCACCGAGGACAGGGTGATTGTTAGCTGCAGGACAGCTCCCAGCTTCTCCACGGCAAAAACCAAGGCCACAAATAGGATGCCAAAGACCACGACCACGCTGCGCATTACAAAGGCCGTCTGTCCCTCGGTCAAAGGACTCTTCCGGAAGGTCTTTACAAAATCCTCCAGCACCACCGCCGACAGGGAATTCAAGCCGGTGGATAATGACGATAGAGCGGCACTAAAGACGCCGGCGACAAAGACACCCGGCAGACCGGGATAAGCGCCAAGAGTCTCCATTACCAGAAGCGGCAGCAACTGGTCATTCCTTTGCGCCAGCTTGGTCTCCAGAGGATCACACTGGGCGTATGTGGCATAGATGAGTAGACCCGTGTAGCCGCAGATCAGGAGGAAGGCCAGGACACCGGCTATGAATGTCCAAATGGCAATCCTGGCATGCCGCAGCGTTGGCAGCGACAAATACCGCTGGATCATGTTCTGGCTAATGGCATTCGACTTGAGCCAGTGGGCCACGCCGCCCAGGACCAGCGAGTAGAAGGTGTAACGCTCGCTGAGATCTGCACTAAAGTTCGGCCTCTCCAGTCGCGAGGTCTCCTGGGCCCGTTGCCACACCACGCCGGGTCCGCCGATGTCCATGGTGCCCTTGATCAGCACCAGAGCCATGGCTCCGAACATGATCAAAGTCTGGATGACATCCGTCCAGACCACTGCCTTCAGGCCACCAATGCAGGTGTAGAAAATGCAAACCACACACACAATGGGGGTCACAATGTGGATATTCACACCGGTGGCCTGGTTAAAGGCTATGGCCGGCACATAGATCACAATCGGTAGCCAAAGGAGCTGTGGGGGAAGGATATGGGGGAAGATGTATATATCCCTCTGACTTCCTTCCACACCCTGAATATCCTTACCGATGCCACAATAAACATCACGGAGCCAAAGAGCCGCAGGCTACGATTGTAACGCTGCTCCAGGTACTGCGGTTGTTTTAAAATATAAAAAATGTATAATATATTATATTTCTCATTAATTTCTTAAATATTATAATCACCTTGTAGGTGGATATCAGATTCAGTTCATGGAAAACCGGCAGAAAGAAATAGTACATGCAAAAGCCCATCAGCACCAGGGATCCCATGATGTACATGTACTGGGCGCCATACAGATACACCTCTGTGGGGGTCCCAAGAAGCGTGATGCCCGATATAAAGCTAGAAAATTAGGAATAAGGATCAAAGATAAATAAAAAAGGTATTTTGGGGTTTAATTTGCAGATTTTGTAGAACAAATTTCCAATAAAAATAAAAATAAATTGTAAGGGAATATTATTAGTGATTGATATATCGGTAAAAAGATGGTATATACCTTTGCGATATTTAGATAATTCGATATTTTGCTTGATATAAATTTATATATCGAACGAAAACCGATTAAAAAGATATTATATAACCTTTTTAAGAATACTTATCTTCGATAAAAAGATACATCTATACATCTATATCGATTTTATATAGCTTTGCGATATCTAAGCGATAAATCGATACATTGCTTGATATATATTTATATACCTTTTCCTTTGATTAAATCTACACTAAATGCATATTCAGTGCTAGTTTTCTCACTGTGCACAACTGCCTTGACCTTCGCCAGAAGCCTCGCAGCCGTCACCTCGTCGCATATCCATCATCTCTGGGAGATCAAAGTGCGTTTTATACAATTCAATTAGCACCAATGTCGCCGTCGTTGTCGTAATCGTAATGTTCAAGTCTAAGTCGAGATCGGGATAGGGATCGGGTTTGGGATGGGGCTGCTGGATCCCGACTCGGATTCAGATTCAGATTCGCAGTCGTAGTCCGCAGTCTGGGACAATTGCCCATCGTCGTCGTCGTCAGCGTCGTCGTTGTTGTCAATTTGAATGCCCTGCATATGCGGGTCGCTCGCCTCGCGTGGAAGCCAATTATTAATTATGATTTGGTGCGTTGATAGGAGCACTACGAGTTGCGTTTACCAGTTGCTAAAAATACCCCACGGACTATAACGAGTGGAAACTGGAGCAAACTGAAATCAGGGTTGGATTAAGGGGGTAAAATTTGCAGAAAAAAAAAATTAGTTTAATATTATATATGCCACAAGGGGAAGGCTTTAAAATGTATAAAATATCTTTGATATTATTACTTATTATGAAAGTTGGTTTGTTATTTGTATTATTAAACTATTTTTTATATTATTTATAATAATATATATAGTATATATTTTATTTATATTATATTTTATTTATTTCATTTATTATTTATATTATTTTATTATTCATTTTATATTTTTTATATTATTAAATTATTTTGGTATTTTGACAAATTATTTATTTTTTTTTGCTGTATATATTTTCTAAATTATTTTAAACTAAATTATTAAAATTTATTTATTTATTTTATATTTTTATTTAGGAAATATATATTGTTTATATATATATATGTATTTGTTTTAAAACATATAACGTTTTTTTAAATTCGATTTTAACCGCAAAACTTATTTAAATGTAACCTATTTGTTATTATTTACTTAAATATATACATTTTTATTTTTATTAATATTTTTTTTTTCTGATCTTAAATAATAAATAAAATTATAAAAGGGTTTTCCCATTGCCGTTGCATAAGAATACTTAACAGGAAAAGTGGTTCAGCAAGTGAGTGGCTTAATTTAAATGGAATTTGCTCTTTGCTGAAATGCTTTGATCATCATCGTCACTTTAACTTATCTTTCTTTTTTTCTATTTTTTTTCTTATTTTTTCTCTCTTTCTTTCACTATTTTTTGTACTTCCTTTTCAGCTTCCGTAAACTCGGCTATTCTTTATTAATTAAGAAACGTTGCAGGTTATAGTTAGCTTAAGTGGTTTGTGTTTTTAAGAATAAGCCTTTCGTCTTTAAATAAAAAATATAAAAGAAAATTATTTAATATTTAACATTTTTGAAGCTTTAAATATTAATATTAAATATTAAGTTATTTGTTGGTTTTTATAAATATATAAAATAATATTTAAAAATATTATAAAAAATATATTTATTGTATTACTATTTTTTTTTCTTTTTTAGTTTACAATAATAATAATATTTAGGGTATTATTTATAGAATTTATTATTAAAATTAATAATATATATTTATTAAATTTTTATTATTTAAACTTTTATTTAAGAAAACAAATTACTCACCTGGATATAAGTGACATGGTGATGGGGAAGATCTTCATTTGCCTGCCGCCCACCAAGTAGGAGGCTGCACTGGTGGCCGCCTCCTCGGCCCCATGGAGCTTCTTCTGCTTCCTGGACTCCCGGCGAAGCTGGAGACAGAAATAGATACCAATCACGGCGCAGATGGCCAGCATCAGGCAGAAGACCAGATAATCCAGCCAGCCGAAGCTCTGCAGGCTGGCCCTCAGCTCCTCCACGTGCATTGTTATGGCTCAGAAAATATAACAACAAATAATAACAACAACGAAAACAACACTCAAAACAAAGTTAAACTAAAAAAAAAATTAAGAAAAAGTGATTTTAAGCGGAGGAAAGCGCACCGCTCGGAGGCACGCATCAGAAGTGACTGGGGTCTGACTTTGATTCGGCTTCGGCGGAACCAGAATCCGGCCCAGCAGCGGCGTCTATTATTGTTTTATATATATCTATTTTGTTTTTTTTTTTTTTATTTTTATTAATGATATTATGACACACACTTGGACACACGGACGACGGTCGACACTCTGGCTGCTCGGCGAATGGCAGTCTGACCAGCTGACTGGCCGGAGACACAGCTGATCTGGGGAAAAGCCACCCAGTTTCAGGCCCAGTCCAAGTGCAAGTCCCAATCTTAGTCCCAATCCCAGTTCCACCTCCTCCTCCGCCTCCGCCTCCGATCTCGGCTAATTGAGTCAACAAATTGAGTCGCTGGGGGCCCAGGCGTCGTTGTCTTTGCCTTCGAGACTCCACAGATCGACGGATTTTGAGGTCTAATTGGTTGCACTAAAAAAAAAGAGAATAACTTAGATAATAATAATAAAAAATAAAGTAGATATCACTTAATTATAAAATATATTAAATCAAATTAAATATAGTTATATAATAAATAATGTTAATGATCAATAAAAAGGCAACATATTTCCTGGAATTTTTAAAGTTCTACAAATCTGCTTTTGAATTTTCTAAATTTTCATTTACTATTTAAATTTTTATATATTTTTCTTTAGCTTATTTTTTTCAGTGTAGCTTGGCTTTGGGGTGCCACTGTGTTAATTAACTTGATTAGATTTAGCTGACAATTTGCGGCCGCCTTCCGTCCTCAAAACGATCAGGCACTTGGATTGCGTTCTCGGATTTTTATGGCTGTTGTTTTATTTTTTTTTCTTTGTCTTCATTTAAGCGTTACAGGTTTTTTTCGAGGGAAAATCTCGTTAGAAAAGCTTAAGAAATTTAAATAAAATAAAGGTTTATATTTCAAATTTAACAATTAATTTAAAAGATGTAATTAACTCTGTTTAAACCCTTGCAAGGTTTTTTTCTTCATGTATTATATTTTACTTAACAAAGTTACATAAAAAAAAAGAAAAAAATTATATATATTAAGCCAAAATAATAAACTGCAGAGCTGCTAAAACTGATTTAGTAGACCGAGCCCAGAGAGGTAAGGTGCCGCTTTTAGGCCTGAAGATCTTCTGGCCAAATATTGTTGCCATTTCGGTTGGCTAAAGGATCGCCGGGATTGAGACCTAAAAAATAAAAATAATAATAATATATATTATGAATTTTAAAATATTAATGTATTAAAAATAATACAACATATAATATATTTAAATCCTACCCGAACTGGCTCCACTCATGGCCAAAATCGAGCTGGTTAGCTCCTTGATGGTTCGCTCCATTTCCCCAAACTTCGCCAGGTCTTCCGAGGAGGGAGCAGCTTCAACCAACTGATTGCGACCCCCAAGGAGAAGGTGGATCAAGGTGAGGGCCAGAAAGGCAAAGAAAACACGATGTTCCATTGGGCAGAAGGACGGTGTATCGACTGTTGTGCCGAGTCTGGGCTGCAAACCTTTTTATAGACCCGATTTTATCAAGATTTTAACCATGGTCGATTACTGGCCATAATGGTGGGACATGGCCGATATGCTTCAATGAATGTCAAATGAACGATAACTTGAATTTTTGGAGGCGATATATATCTGGGTTTTAAATGATGAACAAGGGTAAGGTCATTAGGTTACATACATATTTCTATATAAATTTCTGAATTATAATTATTAATTATTTATATTGTATATATTTTTTTTTTATATTTCTATATAATTCTAAACATTTTTAAATGTTTTTATATACTTACAAAAATTTATAAAAATTATATTATATATTTTATATAATCCCTTAAAGTTTTATATATTTTCTAACATTTATTAAGTTCATTTTACATAAAAAATATGGATTCTTATTAAAATAATAACTCATTTTACATTACAAATTAATTAAAATGTAAATATGGCACAGGTACAGCCACCACATTACTTTCACGCCGCCAGCAGCAAGGCCACACTGGCCTATACCTATCACTTTGCATGGTCACTCTGCCTTAAGATTTATCGACCTTCGCCTACATATATGCAATTTATATCTAAAGGAAATTCTTAGCTAAGTGTGTGGGGGGAAAATTTGATGTTTTCTGCACCTGGTTTTTCTTTTTCTGTGTGTTTTTTATGTTTCATGAAAACCAACTGGAAAAATCTGATGCAGATGCGAATGCAGATGCCAGGGAGCTTCAGCTTCAGCTGTGGCAAAAAGCGTCTGCACTTTAGGGGCAATCGAAGCATAAAATGAGCAGCAAGTGCCACTACACAGATGGAGACACACACGCACACCTGTACAGGCACACACACACACATACACGAATCAGAATCAAAAATTTTTGTATGCGTTCTGCACCTTGAACATGCGTTTTAGCCAGCTTTCAGTGGACATTTTTATATATATATATTTTCCCGCCCCTCTTCAAAATGAATGCAGGGAAAACTCGGAAAATGGTTACTTTTATTTACAAATTTGTATATATAATATTATATATATAATATATATATTCTAGAGGCTTACAAAAATGTAAAGAAAATATAGAAAAGAATCCCTCAAAATTTTAGGTTTACTCTTAGATTTTCCTATAAAGGATTCTTGGATTCTCGTCTAAATATTTGAATGTTAATTTATATAAATTCTATATATATCTTATATTTCTTGTTTATTTTCATGTGTTTGGCAGTGTTATGTTTTTTTTACGTGTTTTATTTATTTTTTTCTATTTTTCTCTGCAGCGTCAACGGCAAATTAATTAATTCCAGTGGAGCGATTTTTCAAGAAAAACCCTTTTCCCCCTTTCAAGGGGGACGGAAGGGGAGGAGGAAGGCACTCAAAACGGTTTCGCAGGTGTTGTAATATTATTTGGAATTATGTTGGAATTTCTTGTTTTCTTTTCCAAGCAGCAGCTCACAGAGTGTGAGAGTGTGTGTGTTTTTTTTTTTTTGCCATGAAAATTATTTGCTTTTTAATTTTTGTTTCAAGTTGCATATGTCTCTACCTATGTGAGTGTGTGCGAGTGTGTGTAGGTGTGTGTATATGGTTCGTTCTTTATAGCTAACTTTACAGTTGAGAAAGCATTTGTTAAGTGGTTTTAATTAGTTGCCTCCGACGACTCGCTTTTGGAATTCCAAAAAAAAACCCCGGCAGGCAACTGATTTTTTATATTTAAAAATATTATTTTAAATCTTAGAACATTTTTTTTAAATATTAAATTTAAAAATTTTAAATAAAAAAAAATTTTCAAGTATTTTCTGAGTTATAGAAATACAAGCAGAACAAGTTGTAAAGATTATTAATATAAAAAAAATAATTAATATTCAGTTTAAAGTGCTTTTAGACAAGATAAAAAATATTCAGGCTATAATTATTTAATGTAATTAATTAATAAATATTTTCTGTGTAACTTTAATTCACAAAAATATAAGCAATTAAATATTGAATAATTTTATTTAGTAAATTAAATAAAGAAATAATATAAATCGAGCTTAAAATACGATTAGAATGGCTAAAGAATATTTTAAAAATATAAAAAAATATATAAAATACACCCTGAAGTCTGCTAAGCTAAATTTGTAAATAAAGAAATATTTTAACAGGAACTATATGCCTTAAATTGAACGAGAAATCTTGTTATTTTCCCCTTAAAAATATGAAAATATCGTAGTGACTGCACATTATCACCACATATTAGATGTCGAAATGAAACACACCCTTTTCCATGTATGTATGCAAATGTTCACCCCTGCTCTGGGACGCCACTGTTATTCACACTTCGGTCATCATCAGTGGGAAAGGCGCGTAATGGGGACTGCCATTTACAATATTTATCAAGTGCGCGAACACACCCAAAGAGCCCCGGCCTGGCGATTAGCCCCGGTACTTGGTAGGACTCGGACTCGGACTCGTACTCGGACACGGACTTGAACGCGGAAAAAATATATACATATATAGTGGAAAGGGAGCCGCAGGACCCATATATTATGGGCTTTGGCAGCGTCATCGTCATTGGGCCTATGCGTGGCCTCTAATTACATCGCATTGTCATAACAAAATTGAGCGCATTTGACACGCAATTGCCCCACAGTTGGATATGCACTGAGAGAAAAAGTTGACTTAAATTAAATAAAATTAAAAATGATAAGTTTAGGTAATCCAGGTTTTAAAAATCTTTCCATCACTGTACATATTAAAAATCTATTCAAACTACTATAAAAATCATTTTTAAAATTATCAAAAAAAATTCTAAAAAAACCCCAGCTTGTGATAATTATTTCCCACAGTGTAAGCAACGATGACATGTGAGAAATATGCCACCGAGGTCACCGTTCAAAAGTCAGGCTGGGTCAAAAGTCGGAGGGACTGTTGCATCAGACCAACTAGATAAGAATTAATTGTTCAATGGCACGCATTGCACTAAATATTTGAATACAAGTATATATATATGGCTATATGTGTGTATGGATATGGGAGGGTTCTTACCGTTAATCGGATAAAATTCATAATTATTGTTATTACTGTCATTTTTCTAATGACTTGCGTGTACTTTTCTATTAAGATGAGCTATCAAACGCACTTTTGGCCAACTGCGCTTGACTTGTTTGTTTGTTTATTTAGTTTTTATATATATTTTTAGTTTTTGGTTGAAATCACTATGATTCCAAAAGGGGGCTTAAATGCTAATGTCACCATCCCTCGCATCTTCGATGGCCACGCAACGCACACGCGTAAATTATGTAATTAAAATTCCGCACCTTAATTCGGGCAATTTATTACACGAGCTTTTGACTAATTGGATAACGATCTTTAACCATGTCCACTAAATAGGCTCTCTCTCTGTGTATGTATATGTATTTATATATGTGTAGGTGTATATGTATATGTAGAGTGTGCTTATGAGTTCATAAGCGATTGCATTTGCTGATAAGCCGGCGATTAATTGAATTTCCACTGAGCGAGTCAAGCGAAGGTGTGTGGAATCCCAGAGAGTGATTAACTATGAGGACACCTTCTTGGCCTAAAAGGGGGATGGATGGCAGTCATAATTGGAATATATTCTAAATTAATTTAGAAAACTTCGATAAAGAGCACTTCTTTTATTATTTTTTAAAATAATACATTAAATAAATCAAATACTTTTTTAAGATTTAAGAGAATTAATTGATTAACTAAATGAAAATTATTAAATATTTAAGTTCTAAAAGAAATTATTATAAAATGTAATTAAAATAATAAGGATAATTAAGGTTATCCCCAGCTAAAGTCACCGATGTCTAGGTTCCTCTTAATATTATTATGTTTACAATTTATTTAAATTAATTAAAAATATATAAATTTAATATACAATTATATAAACTAAGTTCCTAAATATTTAAAATTAATTTAAATATTTTTCAGTATTCTTTTTATTGTTATTAATAACTATATCAAATATTTTAAATATTATAAAACCGTTAAATAGTATACAAATATTTAAAAAATAATATATAAATAATATTTTATTAATATTAATTATTATTAAAAATATTATAAATACATTAAATAATTTTTAAATATTTTAAAATAATTATTTAAATATTTTATACATTTTTTATAAATTTAAATAAATATTATATACGTATTTTTATAAATATTATAAATATATATTTAGATATTTATATATTTATTTATATAATATATTTCCCCAATTACAACTTCACCTCTACTGGCTTAAAAATTAACACCCGGGCTTTTGACATTTTTTTGCGCATTTCAAAATGTTTTCCATTTGTTTTTTCTTTATTTTCCATTGTGTTTTATGGTCACGTTCTGGTCAATAAATTCGCACAGCCATTGCACTATGGTCCAGAATCCGTTTTTTTTGGCATAAAGTCGATTTTTTTATGTTAATATATCGTTGTTTTCTTATTTTAATCTTAAAGTAAATTCATCATACGTTATAAAAATGTTAACTAAAAGCTTTAAATGTGCCACCAAAGCCTATTGAGAGCTTTTAAAAATGCGATTGCGATCAGCTCATTTCCGAATAGAAATTCGCGCCAAAATATTTAGTTACTTTATGTTGTGTCAGACGTGTTATTTTGGTTCAAAAAAATCAACTAAAATATGGAAAATAATCTTCAAGGTATGCACTATTTAATGTATATTGTAATTTTTTGTGTAGTTCTACGTATTTAGTGTTGTGTAATGTCAAATTTATGTGTATGTTTTTAGAAAACTATCATGCGTTCTCCATGTTTCGTGGAGTATAACTAATAAGCTTCTCCATGCTGACAGCAACTAATTGGTCCAGATTGTACTCCTGGATGTTGTCTTTAACCACAAACAAAAAACTCATCCCCGTTCGTCCCCCTTTTCTAATATTTTGGTAATATACATAGTTTATTCACAGCGAACTTTTTAAATTATGAAGCAGCAACAATCGAAAAATTTAATCTGTATCGAAGTGACTATGCACCAAAATTCATAAAGACACTGTGAAATACAAGAAAATGAAGGAAATAGATTAAAAATGCAGTAATTTTTATAGTGATATTCATAAATATCTTCCCAAATGTAAATACGTTCTTGAACGGTTAATTTCTTCCAATAATTCTAATTATAAATTCGGAAAAATATCTCTCTTTTTTTTAACAACTTTTTCATTATATATGCGTTAATTATGTATATAATAAATGGTAATTATGTACATATATAAAAATTATAAATTAAATATCAATCAGTTTGCAAGGGCGGCAAGAGTGGGCGTGGTCGTACTGGCCCAATTTTTTGTACACAAGTTGTTAATGCCACAACAATAAAATCTGCGAAGTTTAAACCCTGTAGCTCCATTTTTCGACTTTATGCCAAAAAAAACGGATTCTGGACCATAGTGCATTGATGGAAATTAAAACACAAATCAAACGAGAACTACCGGCGGCAAAAGCAATTTCCATCATTAAAACAAAGCAAAAAAAAATATAAAAAAACACGGTGCAATTGAATGAGTCAGCAGCAGGTGAGTTTGGGGCCGAAAAGGTGAGAGAAGTGGCTCTAAAAATAGATTAAACGTACACGAAGCCCCTACTATATGGCGGTGGCAGGGTCAACGGAGGGCCTCTTGCCATTCCGAACACGTGGAGCCGGGGAGCCGATTGAGCCGGGCCCCGATTATAATGACGATTTCGAGCGATTTGAAGCCGATTTCAGCGGCTTTTCGACTTTAGTTCAGTTTTGCCGCTCAGCGAAAAATGTTGTGAGGAGCCGCAAACTAAAATATATAGTATATAAAGCTTGTTTTGAAAGGTATTTGCATAATTGCCATGGGGTTTTGTTGCAAACTATTGACCCTTTTGCTGGCCGCTATTTTCATCCATGTGGTAAGTCCTTGGGGGGGAAGTATCTATAGGAGAAACAAACCTCTTCTTCTATTATACTATTAACATTGTTTGAATTTCAGTCTCTCTCCTTGGAGTTCATGGACGAAGGCTTCTTGGCCAACGATGAGGCTGAGGAGAACTCCGCCGAGGTGCCAGCCATCATAACAGGCTATACGAGGGACACCATTGCTCATTTCAGTCCCCGCAGACCGGAGGCAGGTTTCCGGCAGCTGTGGGAGCGGGTTCCTCTCCAGAAAGATGTGATCAAGAGGCGTTAGTAGGGAATATTTACCATTAAAACAAATAAATATTTGTATTTTTTTTTTTAGTAAATTAAATTTATAAAAATAATATATACATGTATTAAGAAATTATATTAATATATTTTATATATTATAAATAAAATTTAAAAAAATAATATGGTATGAATACCCAATAAAATTATTAAATATATGTCATTTTTGTAAGTAAATAAATTATGAAATTATTAAAATAATATGGATTATCCAATAAAACAACTAAAAATCTTTATATATATTTTTAAGTAAATAAATTATAAAATTATAAAAATATTATGGGATGATTTACCCTTAAAACAATCAAATATATATATTTTTTTGGTAAATAAATTATTAAATTATAAAAATGTTAATTATTTAATTATTAAAAATATTAATTATTACAAAATAAATTTATAAAATTATATATATATTTTTTTTTTTTAAGTAAATAAATTATTAAATTATATTAAATATATATAATTTATTTATAAAATGTATACTTTACTTGTGTATTTTATTATTATATTTATTTATTTTAACAAAAACCCCTCTACCAAAAAAAGGGTTACAAAAGTAATTTGAAGATCTAAAAGAAAACCAAAAATCCTGCTTAGTTTTCAGTAAAAATCAGCCATTAAAACCGATTTCAACACGGTACCCCTGACCAGACCCATTAAATTCCGTTCCCAGAAGGCACTACTTAACCGTTCTTGGGGGTGAAAACTTTTTTATTTAAATTTTGTTTTAAGCAAAGGAGACACACACACACACACAAAAGAAGACAAAAGTGAGACCAACTGTGTTTCTGTTTTAGGCTTTTTTCTTCTATAATTTTTTTTTGTTTCTACTTTTTTTGTTTTTGGGTTGTTTCTTCTTTGTTTTGTAGAAAAATGCACAAGTTTTATGGGTAGCATAAAAGTTTTTGTGGGCAAAACTTTGCACTTGTCTTGCCCGAAAGGGTTTTACAATGATGCATCCAAGTGGGCGTGTCGAGCACTTAATATTTTCTGGCATATCATTAGGCGAACAAAATATATACTAAATATAAATGTATATATATAAATCCCCAAACTGATTTTCCTAGAGAGCAAAGTTTGCTTCTTCTAGTATTATTTTTTTTTTTTTTTTTTGTTTTTGTGGGGACATGGCAATGGCCGGCATGCATTATCATTAAAATAAATTATTTCGAGTCCAGTGTGGTGGCCACAAAACTAAAACGCATTTTGCACGTCTTGTGTGCGAGAATTTTTTACACGATTTTTACAACTTTTTGTCGGTGCGGTCTGCGCTAAGTACAAAACACATTCTGCCTTTTTCGGGGGTGGCCTTAAGATAAAAAGTCAAGTTGAATGCGTTTAGAGTTAGTAGAATGTAGCATTTAGTTAACCCGCAAGACGACACAAGAAATAACTTTGCATACTTTTCCGCCGGTCCAGCAGCAGCAGCAGCAGCTCATGTTAAATACTGCTGGAAAGGCACCATCACCGCCATCAAAAGACAATGAAAACGAGGCAACGAGGAGTGCCTGGGCCTGGCCACGTAATTTCTCAAGTAACCCAACCACGTAAAGCATAAAATATTTGCCTTTGAGTCCGAAAAGTATGTCCAAGAAAGTGCCGCAAAAACAAGTTGCCAGGCTGCCCTCTCTTCTCATTTGAATACCAACGGAAAGCAACTCTCGGACATGCAAACAACTTTGACCACGCATTTGTTCTGAAGAATGAACTTGGCCATACACTGCTGGAAATTCCCTTTAAAATGAGGCTAGTTTTATGATAATTATAGGAAATGTAACCAAGTTATGATGGGTGAGACTTTGAAAAAGAGAAATATTTATTATATAAAAATAATATAAATATATTATTGTAAAATATATAATCTCAAAAACTTTAAGGATTTATTTAAACCAATTTTGGCAGGATGTTTGGTTGGTTTTATGTGTATAAGTATAGCAAGTTTTAGATTTTTAAGTTTACAAAATTTTATAAAAATTTAAAGTTGCCAAAAGTACTTTTAAAGGCTCATGATCTTAGGTTTATAATCGGCCAAAAATTTCCAAAAATTTATTAAGTAGTAAAAGTGTGTTTAGAAAACGTTTAAAAATAATTTAAAAAATTTAAAAACCCTTAAAATGCTAGAAAAATAATTAAGTAATATAAGGTTGGAGTTAAGAACCTCAAGTTTAGGTTTATGTACAAGATCAAGGCTTAGTTTGATTTAAACAAAATGTTATATAATGTTTTATAAACTTAATATATACAACTATACCAAGTTTCAGACTTTTAACATTTAAATTAAGACAGTTTTTAAATTAGGTTTTCAATTAAAATGTATATTTTTAAATTATATTAAAATAAATATCAATTAAAATAGTTTTAAGTTATTTAAAAAAGTGGTAAATAAAATATATATTAAAATATATTTTTTAAATATTTATTAGATAAATTAAATTAAAATTGTTAAATTAAAATATATATTTAAAAATTACCCCAAGATATATATAAATTAGTTGGCCAGTTTTAAGTTACCCCTTCCAACAAAAAAATCTCACAAACTGTTTAGCCTGGACCTCCTTCTAGAGGTGACGATGCCAAGTCAGGGACAGGAGCAGGACCTGCATCCTCCGGCCAGTTGAGTGGCCACATGCTTCATGCTGCCAGGCACATGCAATTTGTAAGCCAAAGCGCATAATTTACAACGTCTTGCCTTTTGGGGTCTTGAGATGGTGCTCCTGCTAGGTACTCCCGGGCCAATGAAGTGTCGGTTGCGGCCAGTTCATTGGAAGAGAAAGGAGGAGATGTCGGAGGAGGAGGAGCAGCACAACACACTGCACTTGTCATGGCCCCAGGACCTGTAATGTCTTTCCCAAATCGCTCGAAGGTGTCCAAGCTTACACCGATTGTGGTTGGCCAAGGACTGTAATTAATAACAAAAATAAATAGGGAAAATAAAGGCAAATAAGAAATATATATTCTGAATACTCTACCTTTTACCTGGCACTCATTTGCATGGGAATCCTTTCGGTTGACTGTCACAACCACTTGCTTACTTACCAACTTTAGTTACTTACCGGCCTATCTGGCGACTTAGTTCTCCAGTTTATTTTTTCGGGGATCCTTCCGCCAGGCCACGAACAAAAAATGCAAAAGGATTCGCGTGGGCTTAAGTGTCGCTCTCGTCCTGGCGAGTCAAGTAGCCTGGGCAAGAAAATAACTTGTAGCAAATTAAGTTTGTTAGTAATTAGAACACCACTAAGGACACCTGAGCGCCATCTGAATTTATACACCCCTGGGCAGGGCAGGACACACACACACAGGACACACAACAATTAAGCCTTGCCTACAGTTTTTCGAGGGAGTCCTCCTGTTCAGGATACCTGAAGATACTGCGAAAGTAACAAAAGTTCTCTCTGGGAGTCCTCCTTCGCCTTGTCGAAAATTCCTCAACTCGAAAGTTGGCAACTTTGATGTCCTGGAACTTTGGGGCAAGAAGGAGAGAGAGGGAGATGCATCCAGCAGCCAAAAGGAGCGTCAAGTGCATGCCTGGACACTGGCCAGTTGGGACTTAACCCACTGAGAGGAAAGTATAAGTAAATTAAGACAATGTTTTTATGAAATATTTGTAGCTCTTAAATTTATATTCTATAATATTAATTTATTATTTATATATATTTATTTTAAATTTTAAATATTTCTCTACACTTTCCTTAGTGGGTTAACCCCACAAAACCCCTCTGCCTGTTAAGTGCCAAACTTTGGCAGCTTAAGAAGCAGTTCAGCCAGGTTCAGGACCCGAGTGCAAGTATTTTGTGGCAAGAAGGAGTACCCAAAGCAGCCACATATTCTTCTTGTTTTTAATAATATTTATTTTTAGAATTTATAATATTTTGTAAAGAAGATATATATTATAAATAAACCCTTTTATTCTTTAAAACTAAGCCAAAATTACTTTTTTTATTACACATCTCATTGCCTTGATTTACACATTTAAAAAAGTATCCAAAAAATCCCCAAAATAATATCTAAATTTGGTCTACAGTCAGGGCCAAGCCTTTAGCCATCTTTCTTTTTGCGAAACTGCAGCATTAGCTCCTTGGCCGCATTAATTTTCGAGGCCAAATATGGTGAGCCACCGCGATCCGGATGATTGGCCAATATGACCCTGCGATGAGCCTCACGGATACGAGCCGGCGGCGAGCTAATGCTGGTGCCCAAAATCTGAGATGCCTCGCGCAGCGTCATCTTTTCCTTGTGATAAAAATTATTTAAAATATTATTATTATTTAAATTAAAGAACTACATTAAATTTTCACCTGGAATCCACCACGATAGTAGGCCCTGGCATTGAGACGCGACCACATCTGGCTGAAAGGGGGCGAGCGGCGTAGCAGGATTTGTGCGGTCAGGCCGAGCACACCCACGCCCAGACCCACGCCCACCAGTAGCCACCTTGACCTTGGCCATGGGCCAACAACCTTGCCGGTTGTATTGTTACCGGTACTGGTCTGCATTTTTTTTTTGTTCAGGAATCGACGAGTGGGGATCGCGAGTTCCTTGAGTCTTGTTGTCAAGCAAAAATGCTGCCGGTTTTTCGTTTTGGGGTTTGAATGAGAATTAAAAATGTCAAAAGGACATTAAAAACAAAAGTCTAAAGATTGGGAAAATTTTTAGAATTTTTCTTAAGTATTATTTTAGTTTTTAAAATTATTTTTATTTCAGTTGTTGTTCTAGAAATAGTTTTAATAAATATTTAGAGCTTAAATATAGTATTAAACAATTTTTTAGAATATTATTTTAGTGTTAAAATGTATTTTTATTGCAAAAGAGTGCCTGGAAAATCAGCTGTTGCTCTAGGAGTATTCTTAAAAAATATTAAAAGCTTAAATATGGTATATTTAAATTTTCTTAAATATTATTTTAGTTTTTAAATTTATTTTTACTACCAAAAAGTGAAAGAATATTCAGCTTTTGCTCTAGAAATGTTCCTAAAAAATATCAAAAGCTTAAATATATTATAAAACTATAGTATAAGAATATATAAATAATTATAAAACACATTACTTTTAATAAAACAACTATATAGACAGTTAAAAAAATTAAATAAAACAGTGGAAAAAAGAAATATACATCATAAACTCCTTAAACTTTCTGTTGAAGTCTCTCTCCTTTTTCACTTTCACTGAATTAACACCAAATTAAATTCCAACTCCAACCAAGGGATATATGTACATCCACTCCGATATATATATATATGTATATATATATAAGCTCTGGCACTTTGCACATGAATACATTTCAAACACACTTGAGTGCAGCGATTGAATTTGAAACACAAACGACAAATGCCGGCAATCAAGTCGAGACCGAGACCGAGACGGAGACCGAGTAGGAAAATGGAAAATGAACTCCTTGGGAAGCTGGCAGGATGTGAGGGACTATAATCAATATGCGAGGCAGTCAATACCAGTGAAGGGAGACCGGGGGAGAGGCAGGGCAGGCGAAGGAGCAACAATTACAGAGTCCTTTTGGGGCTCCATAGTTTTGCAGCGTCGTCGTCGTCGTCGTTGTTGGTTAAATGATGTGTAATCGTCTTATGTGCACTCGAATGCCTTTTGGCTTCTAATACGGCCAGGATCAAGGACCCGGGACAGACAAAGGCCGGACTTCGGGCAGGACCTTGCCACAAAAGAAAACTTTGCCATAGGCTGACCTCAAAATGCACAGCCAGGGACATGGGCAAACTTTAATTTACAATCAATTCAGGCGTGAATAATAAACCACAAGAAACCCAGGCTACCAAAGTGAAAGTGTTGTCCCGTTGTCCCTTTGTCCTTTTCCAGGACCTCCTCAAATTTAGTTACAACACAACACACACACACACACACACGAAACGAAACGAACAAAGTTTGCTGTTTGCCGGCAAGTTTTCCAGGCAAACAAACAAAGCCCAGGAGTGGAGCTGCCCCCAATCTCCGCCAGAAACCGCAACACTTCCGCTCCTTCAGAGTCCAAAGGACACTGTCCCTCTCTCTCTCTCTCTTTCTATGTGTGTCCTGCTGCTATCAATATTGTTTTCCTATTAAATTGATCATTGGTCAGTCAACAATTGCGGCTGCCCTCGAAAGGACACACGGAAAAAGCCAAGAGAGAAAGGTCCTTTGTTCAGGCACTGACCAAAAAGAGGCTTTAGAAATAAATAAAGGAAGAAATAAATAAAACAATAAATAAATAAAGAAGTAAATAAATAAATAAAGGAATAAATAAAGTCTCTAGAAATATACTAAAAATCTTTAGAATTTAGAAATCTTTTGAAATCCCTAAAAAAGGATATACAAAACTAAGCCCTAATATTTTAGAAGTATTAAATATAACAATAAATAGCTAATTATTTTTAAAAAATATTTTTTTCAAGCCAAATTTAATGTCAATTATTTGTGGCAATAATTTCTGGGGGAGAGTAACTTATTCAACCAAAGACAGTTGCCTACTTACAGGCGCCCAGGCATAGGCAGTCAATCAGTCAGTGATCCCACTCTCTTCCTCTCTCTCTCTTCTTGAGTCCTGTGAGTCCTGTGAGAGCTGCTCTATTTGCTTCAACACCCAAGCCCAAGTGCAAATTAAATTCATTAGTCAACTTCCTCTGCTGTGTGTGCTGTCAATTCAGACGGATTTGAAGTCAACTCAATTTGAAATCAATAGTGTGTGAATAATCCTTTCACACCGACGCACACACACGCACACCACCTTACGCACACTCACACCCAATTTTTGGGGAGTTGCATCTGCTGCAAGGATTGTCTAGTCTGGCTAAATGGCTAAATGGATGGATGGATGGGCACTTGAAAGCGTTTTTGCATCGATTGCACTTCATATCAGGCCAGTCAGTCGTAGTCATACGCTCATCCATTCATTCCTTCATTCATTCATTCATTCAGTCAGTCAGTCAGTCAGTCAGTCAGTCAAGCAGGCCGTTTATTCATGCCACTCACATATGTTGCATCATCGTTTTTCGGGGAAACTGGAAAATGGGAAAACTGGGAGATACCCAAGTAGACATGGCAACCAAAAAAGGCAAGCCATTAAGCGATGACGACGATGCCAGTATTTGAGCAATTCAATGGCAATGCGAACCTGCACACTGTAAGAAAAAAATTATTAGAAATATTTTAATGAATTATTAATTAATAAAATATATGAATAGAAGCTTAAAGGTAATATTTTTTCGACCCGAGATTACGAGAGAGCTTCCAAAAGAGGGCTTATATCTCTTTTTTGCCTGCAATGTACTAGCAATTCAGTAGATAGGTTGCTTATTTAAGTAGCTTTTATTGAACTTTTTGATTAATTTATTTATTGTCTCGCTTATCTCAATATTTCTCATTTAACACTTTTCTTTCTCTAAAAATTTCTACGTTTTTTCTTCACGTGCACTGGCAGCCCCCCAAACACAGCTGCGGCACTTCAGCCCTCGTCGAGTGGCAAGCAATGAGCTATGCATGCAATTCAAGTGCCACATCTGCAACTGCAACTGCAACTGGAAATTCAATGGCAATTGCAGCTACTGCTTTCCGATTTACCAGAGAGCCCAAAAAAGAGCCCAGCCTTCACTCCTCCTCCTGCAGCAAAAATCCACAGAAATAGGGAGCGGGCAATTCCCATGTGGCGCCACTTCTGGCATCTGTTTGCGCCCGTAATTGTGCATAATTGAGTCGAGCCTTTTTGGTAAAGGGGGGGTAGTAAAGGACCTATAGGAGCAGCCAAAAATTTATTCAACAAATCAAATGGTGCAAGCCGATTTCAGGGGATTTCAAAAAGGTTATAAACAAGATATTACCCAGGGAGGTACGGGGGAAATTACAAGTGATTTAAAGTAAAAAAATATATTAAGATAATAAAAATCAATGGGGAATGATGTTATAGATATTAACTATTTAATATAAATATAATATATATTAGGTATAAAAATTTTTAAAATTGAAAATGAAATTTTAAGAGAATAAGAATCAATTGAGAATGATGTTACAGATGTTAGGTATTTAATAAAAATATTTTATATTAGCTTTATAATTTTTCAAAATTAAAAATGTATTTTTAACAGAATATAAAACAATAGGAAATGATGTTACATATATTAGTTATTTAATATATAAATTATTTATAAGGTTTATCATTTTTTTAAAATTAAATACAGAGCAGGCTTTGACTGGCCTGTCCATAAAGCAAATATACATACAAACCTTTTAGTTTTCATTTGAAATTCCTTTGAGCGGCACACACAAACAAACACACACACAGACATCAACTAATTTCCAAAAGTAAACATTATGGACTTGGATCTGGACCTGGACGATCCCAGGGACCGCTCACCCCTCCAGCAAATGCTGGACTTGGCCCTAATGGCCGCCTATGCCGGTGGCCAAGTCCTGCGCACTCTCTGGCGACTTATGGGGGCAGAGGCTTTAGGTTCATCCACAGAGGCAGAAATGGAGGAATGCAGGTATATAGCATTATAAACTATATTAAAAAAAAAAATATAAAAATATTATTTAAATATAATTCAGGCCCAGCAGAAGGCACCCACAGAGGAAATCCCAAAAGGAGCATCATTATAACCACCAAGGCGGCGAAGGTGACTATCTGCGCTACGACGAGATCCTGCTGGCAAAGATGAGGAACAACAACGATAAGAAGCATCAGTATCCGCGGCTGGTGACAGTGGTCTGTGGCTTTCCCAAGAATTTTGCCATGTATCCAAGGTATGTGCGGGGCAAGTTCGGTGAGGATGCCTGGTTCCATAGCTCCTCGCCGCAGGCGGATACATTGGGCGTGGCCGATGGCGTCGGCGGGTGGCGTAGCTATGGCATCGATCCCGGTGAGTTTAGTGACTTCTTGATGCGTTCCTGCCATCGTCTGGCCACCAATCGCAACTATGATGCCCGTCGCCTGGACTGGCTGCTGAGTCGCGCTTACTTGGATCTCCTGGAGCAGAAATGCCCTGTCCTGGGCAGCTCTACCGTTTGCCTGTTGTCCCTGAATCGTGAGAATAGCACCGTTTATACGGCCAATATTGGAGATAGTGGCTTTCTGGCCGTTAGATCTGGCCGGATTCTGTGCCGGTCCTTGGAGCAGCAGCATCAGTTCAATACTCCCTACCAGCTGTCCTCTCCGCCGCCCAATTTGGGCGGACAATTTCTTATCGATTCGCCGGACTCGGCCGATTTTCAAGAGTTTAAGACGCGTCCCGGCGATGTCCTGCTACTGGCCACCGACGGTGTCTACGATAATTTGCCGCTGGAACTGATCCTGGAGGTGCTCAGCGAGATGGCCGGCGTGGAGGATCAGATGGTCCTCCAGATGACAGCCAATTCATTGGCCCTAATGGCCCGGACCCTCAGCACGAATCCGCTCTACGATTCGCCTTTTAGCCGGAAGGCCCGCAAGATGAATGTGGAGTCGTCGGGCGGCAAGCGGGACGACATCACGGTCCTGTTGGCCAGTGTTATCTAAAGTATAGCCTTGATTTTCTAGGAGTGGCGGAAGCAGTACATCCTTCCAGCCTGTCCACTTGGTACAGTGGAAGCTGTCCACCGGAGAGGAGCTGAGGGGTAAGCAGGGAAGCCAACCAATCGAAAGTCTACGAAAGTTCTTTGGAGAGTGTAGAAAAATTAAAGAGTCTGTGGAGAGTGTAGAAAAATTCTTTGGAGAATTAGGAAAATTTCTTTGGAGAAGAAAAATCCCTCTGAGAGTGTAGAGATTTTGAAGAGTCTAGAAAAATCCTTTGGAGAGTTTAGAAAATTTTAACAGTTTATGGAGAGTTTAGAAAAATTCCTGAAAGAGTGAAGAGTTTATGAGTCTGTGAAGAGTTTATGAGTCTGTGAAGAGTCTACAAAAATTCTTTGCAGAGATTACGAAAAGTTAAGAAAATTTCTTTGGAAAAGAAAAATTCCTTGGAGAGTGTAGAAAAATTAAAGAGCCTATGGAGAGTCTAGAGAATCTAGAAATATATCCTAAAGAGATTGAGAGAGAATTGAGAGAGAGAGAATGAAGATTTCATAAAAATCTCCAAAGACTTCCTGAAGAAAATCCCTTAAAAATTCCATAAAAAAAAGGCCTTCTTAAGCTGTGCCTCCAACAGGACTTTTTATTTGTATATTTCCACTCCCATTCATGCCATGTGTTTTCAATAAACTACAAAATTGTTCCAAGTGCAACTAAAGTTTAATACATTTTTAAACACTTTCAGCCGTTCGAAAAATTATTAAATATTTATTTACATCTCATATATATATTATTTATTATTTTCCAATCACTTTTCGCTCAGTATGGAACCAAGTTGGGGTCAAGTTTTTATCCTTTGCAAGTAAAAGCCACTTAGAAAAACGCCACTGCTTAAAACAAAAAGAAAAAGAAAAGTGCAGTAACACACTCAAAAGGAACTCATAAAAATGCTTTGTGGCTGCTCTTTTATTTATATATTTTTTTTTTATATATTTTTTTTATTTTCTGTGAGGTTTTCCCTTCACTCGAAGTAAAAATTCTTTGCCTTTGATTCCGCTTTTTTGTTTGTTTTCGTGCAAAAAACTTTACAAAGCATTAACACCTCATAGAGGGGGCAGACACAAAGGGCAAGGGGGACACAAACAAAAAAAATGCAGAAAAAAAATCAAGTTAAAAGCCACAAAACTCCAAACTCAAATATCGTATGTCACGTCACACATTGGCAGGACCAAAGAGGACGAGGACGAGGACGAGGACAACGTAGACGCCTGCCTGCAGCGAGTGCACGTAGATGCTGGAAATTTGATTAAGTTTATTAGGGCCACGGAACTCACTTGACATTTTGTTGAGATTTTCGGTTTATTTTTAGCTTTTTCAACTTTTTTGTTTTGCAGTTTATTGAACAGTTTGTCGTTTTTTCAGCAAGGAGGCAAGGATATACTTGATATCCTTTAGATTTTAAATTAAATTCTATTAAAAACAGTTTGATCTAAGATTTTCAAACGAACCTTTTTTCAGGCATTGTCTGATATTTTTGGGTGTCCTTAAAAACTTTTTGGGGGAAAGATGGAAATAGTTTTATTTCAATTAACAAGAGAAATTCGATGAGTTGTATTTGTTGTGCGTGTGTGTGTGTGTCCGGGGTTTGTGTGCAAGTTGGAAAATTCACTCGGCGTTTTATGCGACACAAGATAAGAGCGATGGCGACGTCGACGGCCAAGAATTTAATGTTTCGTTGTCCTGCTATAAGGGTCCTTTTTGGTGGCGAGTGTGCATGTGTGTGTGTGTGCGATAATGTTGTCAGATAATAAACTGGGAAAATTACAAAATTACAATCAAACATGGAAATGGGGGGAAAATGGAAAATGGTAAAGGGAAAGAGTAACCCATATGAGAGAAATGGTGTCCTGGAGGAGGGTTTTTGCAGTGGCAGTGGGGGGTTTAGTGGAAGAATAATGCTGCTAATGGCGGACCATTGTCGTCCTCGGTCCTTGTCCTTAGCGGCGGCCTTTACCCTCTCCTTAAATTTTATTGCCCCAGAATTGCGCAAACATTTCACGATTAACGTAAATTTGTCGCCACAAAACTATTCAATTGAAAGTTATTTACGTTTATTGTTTTGCCTTTGTTGGAATTGTCAAGGAAATTGTTTTAAAAATAAATACAACGTTTTTTAAGGCTAAAAAGAGACATCAAAAAAGAATTAAAAATAAAATTAGACCTTTAAGTAAACAACAAACATTTTGAATTAAAATTATAAATAAATATCCTTTGATTTAAAATAATTTATAAATATTTTAGAATTTTATATTTATATATTTTACTTATTCTACTAAATATTCTATCTGTTATGTTATTTTTCCTTGCTAATTACTACATTTTAATCCCTCAACTTTAAGCCCGTTGGCAGCTCTGTTAAAGTTGTACAATTAGGCATCGGTTTGATTTATGGCCAAATGCCATTAAGAGTCCTGCCAAGGCCATCGATTGCCCCCCTCCCTTGCGTCTGGCCAAAATCTATACTTCCGTTGTTAATCATTGGCATCACTTAACGGCCCCTTTCGTCTTCCGTTCCGTTAAAGGAATGCAATCAGCCAGAGGATCCTGGTTTTATTTCAAGTGCTTTTTCCTCCTCCTTACCGGCGAACACGCCCTTCAATTACAAATCACGGGACAGGCAGGACTCGGCTGCGCAGATAATCTGCTAAAGGACTTCCGCCAGGAGAGACAGAGAGAGGGCCAGGGCACTGTAACTGAAATCGCAATGATATACTGCCGTGAAATCGAATCGCAAGGCGCGGGCACGGGGTAGTCAGCTGGCTTCCTCCAGGACAACTCCAAAAGCCCATCTCCCTGGGATTCACGGCCTCGGATTCCTTGGGCCGCTCGACAAAATCAACAGACTATGGCCAAAGGTCCGCCAGACTTGGAGACTTCACAGTTGGCGTCGTTGCACAAAGGCAGTCAGGGCACTGAAAAAAAAATATAAATATTATGTATAGATACAAAAAACCTAATTAAAGGTATTAAGAATAGTTTTAAATAACTAAAAAATAATTAAAAATTACTATAAATATTTTATTATTAAAATCTGTAAAAAAAATACTATTATGGTATTATGACACTGCATTCGGGAAAGAGGGTAGGTCACACTGTTTTTGTCTTTAAATTGATGTCCAAAAAATGTTAAATATATTGTTAGTACTACTACTATAAATATAATAATATTTATATATATTTTAAAAATGTTTTTTAATATATTTCCATTTAATGTAAATACCTCTAAATATTTCTAAAAATTTTTCATCAGTGCTTCTTTTCTAGTTTTCTTGGCCGGCGCAGCCAGTAAGAATTTATTGCCCCTTAAGGCCGTGTAGCGTGTCCGAAGGACTCAGCGGGTTGCATGTTCTTCATCCTCGCTCCTCCCCAAAGCTCCTTTTTGGTAACTGAAAAGACCTGCGAGAATCGTCCTTCGTCTCTCCTTTTTTTGTTTTTTTTTGGCGTGCATTTTCGGCGGCCGTGTTGAAATTGACAGCAAAATAATTGCTTGATTATTTATGAGACGCAACTTGGGCCAGAGACAGCAAACGGAGCAGAGCGAGATTTGTTTGCCAAAATGGAAAAACGGAGGCCTCCTAACCAAATAGTTATTCAAGAAATTCAAATTGTGGTAATTAAAAATGGTCACACACACATGGCCGGCCCAGAGGACTTGACATATGGGAGCCAGCATCACAATCAGAGGCAGAAACAGAGTCCGCATCCGAAATCCAAATCCAAATCAGGAGCAGAAACAGGACCAGCACCGGTTGACGTGGCCAGGGCAAGGAGCTTTGGCTTCGCCTGCGGCTGGCTGTTATTATTTTTGTCACTGACAAAGCAAATCACCAGAAACCAACAAAGGGTCTCCTCGGCCTCTGGCCTCTGGCCTACGTTCTCCGTACTCCATTCTCCGACGGTCCAGCTACTCCGTTCCAACTCCTTCACTCTGGGATAACCCCTTTTGGAAGGCCGCAACACGAGGCGTAACAAACGATGCCGCAGAAAAACCTCATAGGCCCGGGCTCAGTTTCAGGCCCCTAAAATCTCCGAGACCCCTCAGGTTTTTGCACTGGAAGAAAAATTATAATTATTAATTATATTTTTTTGTATTTATTCAAACACATTTATATATTTTTTTAAAATTTTAATTGAAAGTTTAATAGAATTACTAAATAGTTATAGTGCAAAAATAATAAAAAATCTATATTTTTTAAAAGTAGCAATGGAAATTTTGCCACTTGAGAATTATAAGTGAAGGAAATGCTAACTTTAGCCTCAAAAAAAAATATAAATAAATTAGTAAATTATTTTCTATTGAAATGTAGTTTTTCCATAAATATTTAAAATAAAAAATACATTTTAGAAAAGGTTTTTCTTCAATTAATATAAAAAATAATATAAATATATATATTTAATGTCTATATTATAATTTTTCACAGTACATCCTTCAGGATCTGCCAACTGCGGGGCAATTTTCCTGTTGAATTATGAGGATATTTGTTTCGTCATGAAAGATTGGCTCCGCTACCGGTACCAGTAGCAGTTTCCCAGCTCCCAGTTACCACTTCCCAGACTTTTCCCAGCTACCATTTTCCTCTCACTCTAATCCCTTTCGGCCGGCCAGCCAGCCAGCCAGCAAACGGGGCCAACTGTACATTTCTTTCGCTCCCCGGCTTTCATCTTCTTGTGGAGTGGGCTTTTCCCGCCTCCTGCGAGGACAGGCGGTGAAGGAGGTAGGAGTAGGATATGGTGTTTTCAATTTGCATTGGACCTGGACCCGAAGCCCGGCCACAAAAACATAGAGCTGAGGCAGAGAGCAGAGAGAGCTGGAGGAGAATCGTCAACTTTGCCTTCGTCGTGAGCTTACCAAATGCACTGCAAGTGAAATGCACTCCACTGACTTTTGGGGTCGGTTGGGTTCGTGAACCATAACCGTACGGAGGGAGGGAGGTAGGGGAAATGCTGGTGGAAAATGCTGGGAAAACCCCCTCGTCCCCCCCACCACGCACACACATGTAACACATGAGTCTTAGGCAGGACCCATGGCCTGGACGATTGCATCTACAATTCATAGAAATTTCAAACGATGCGTAAACGAAAACGGAAAATGCAGCCCAGCTTCTGAGAAGTAGGATGAGATTGTCCCTAGGAAAAATGAGTGGGAAAGCTGTCGGGGTGAAAGGAAAACTCGGAGAAGCACTCGGACTCGGACTAGGACTCGGACTCGAACTAGGACTACGACTAGGACTAGGACTAGGCACCCCAGTTGGAAAGTAAACGAATTGTGGCCATGGCCAAAAATTGCCTTTACTGTTGCGTTTTCTGAAATGCATGGGAATGGGGATGGGGATAAGGTGGAGAAGATGGAGCCTGGTCCGAAATCCGACTTTGGTTGATGATGAGTGTCGTTATCGTTTTGTGGAGTTTTGTGTGTGTTTACCAGTTATCCCCTACCATCCGCCCCCTCTCCTTCGTAGGATATTCTAACTGCAAGTTGAATTTGCATTTCGATATGTGGCACCGAGTGCCAGCCCACAAAACAATCAAGAAAAGCAATTGGTGCACTCTCCGAAACGAGGCAGGAATAGGATGGGGGGGGGGTTTGAGGGTTTTCATGGAGCCAGCAGAGTCCTCCTGGAGCCGGAAAAGCGTCGTCAGTCGGACGATGATG